CACCATATCAAGCAAGCTTATGGAGAAGACCAGCATGCCAAACTTTGTCAAAAGTTTCAGATATGTCGAGAGCAATAGCCCTAGCCTCACCGCCTCCATCTAATGCACGATAAAATCTTTCAGTTACAGCAGTTAGCAAGTCGGCAGTAAAGCGGGAGGATCGAAAACCGTATTGATTGTCTGACAGTAGTTTATTTGACTCAAGATGAGATGTGAGGAATATGTTGATCAAAGACTCAAAGACCTTGTTAATAACAGAAAAACTTTTGCTTGTACTTCCCCAAGCAGTAATTCCATAGTTAATATAACGATGTATAAGCCAGTAGTATTTTTGAATTAGATTGTTTTCGTTTAAATAATTTCTAGTTTTAAGTAAAATTCTTATAGCAATTTTAGAGCTGGATGTCTAATTTTTTATTTCAACCTTGTCTATAAATAATTGAGGTAATTGTTATGGCAATAAGACCCTTTTTGATACAGAGTGAAAAAAAGCTTTGTTTTTTCAATGTTTACGGTTAATTTGTTACATTTAAACCAGTTTGATATGTAAATAAGTTCTTTATTTAACTCGGAAAATAGTTCATTATTGTTAGCATTTGATAAGAATAAATTCGTATCATCTGGAAACATAATACTTCTTAGTTTTGATGCTCTGTAAATATCATTTAAATAAACTAAAAATAAAAGAAGTCCTATGATTGAGCCCTGTTGAACACCACATGTTATTTCAATCATTTCATAATGGTGTCCATCTTTGAATGGTACATATTGTTGAACGGTACATCTTGCTGGTATACAGAGGAAAACACTGTGCACAGAGATGACATTGCTTGCAACTAACCTTCCATTAGTTAGTAAGGCTGATAAAACTGAATCAAAGAAACACTCGACATATGACTGCAACAGATGTTTGAGTTGCTTTCATTGTTTTCTCCATCGCTACAATTTAAATTGTTCTGCATATTCTAATATGTATGTTGCATATAAATAGTATTATGTCTATCTTGCACACAGGTCAAGTGTGAGAAAGCTTTTTTGAAGTTAAAGATTGTGAAAAATACCTTTTTAGTCTTTTGGGCGACCACCACGAATCACTTATTTTGATGAATGTCGAAAATGACATAAAAATAATTACAATGAGGTCGTCCACAGTTAGGCAAAACCATCAAAAATTCTTTCTGATAACTTGCTATAAAATAAAATTGCAAATATATACCATTTTCTTTTTCTTCTTCTTATTTTTTTTATTAAAATGGTGCGACATTGCAATTTAAAATTATTGTATTTTTAAAACTTTGCGTATGGATTTAATTTTTAAACGTGCCGAATAAATTGATGGAGTGCACGGTCAAGATATGAAAATTTGCAACCATTGTTTTCAAAATTTCCTACACCCATATGACGAAAAAAACTATGTGATTAAGGGTTTAATTTATTTTCGCTAAATTTTTGGCGAAAAAAAAAATTGAAAAAGTTTGTTGCTGGGTGGTTTGGCGATTTTGTATTCTGTTGAAGATCTCTCAAATAAAAATGTCACAGAAAGGTCCTGAAGCACCAAAAAAAGCAAACGAAGAGGAATTCTTAATGCTCAAGAAAGCAGTTGAACTATAATAGTTGTTAATCTGGAGAAAGAAAACGAAATATTGAGAAATAAATCAAATGACAATAGCGGCAATAGTAAAACAAACATGAACTGGAGTGCTCTATTTAAAACTAAAACCCCAGAACAAATTATCATTTTCAAGGCAATTACCGATATCGTTAAGGATACAGAAAAAAGAGCAAAAAATTTAATAATATTTGGCCTTCCATATCAAGATGCTGAATATCCTAATGACTGTGATCACTAACAAGTTGAAATTTTTTTAAATTCAATTCAAATCAGTGGAAATAAAATCAAGAAAGTGCATTGTTTTAAACCAAAACAAAAATCTTCCTATATGCCAACAACCTTAACTTCAACTACACTACCTCAACAAAATACAAATAGCCCAGTCTTAGTTGAGTTAATAAATGCCAGTGATCGTAACTTCATTCTTAGCGCTGCCAAATCTTTAAGAACCTCACCAGAATTTGTTAAGGTGTTTATAAATCCAGATCTTAATGATGCAGAGAGATCAAATATGAAAATGTTGCTTCAAGAAAGAAAAATTAAAAACAACGAATTGCAAGCGAATGCAAAACTCAATTTGCTCTTTCAATACTGCATTAGAAGCAACACCATCGTTAAAATCGATGTTTCAAAGTTTACCAAACAGAATTAAAAAAAAGTAATAGTAACACTGGCAAATGCAACTACCACATTAATCCTAAACTCAGTGTAAATCATGCTAACTATAACAACTAAACAAAAGTTAAACAATATTCTTTCAATACCATTAGCTGTACTTACTTCAATGTTAGATCGATTAATAATAAACTACACTACTTACACAATCTCCTCGAAAATAGCAATCTTGATATCATACTTATTACCGAAACTAAATAAAAATACACCTGACTCATTATTGTTGAATGGCAAGAATTTCAAAGTATATCGATATGATCGAAACAATAGTGGTGGGGATTCACTTATATTAGTGCGCAATAATATCCATTCACTTCAAATGAATCTTAATATTCCAATGGAACTATAAATACGAATTGCATGCATTTATCACTATTATTTCTGTCTTTTCTCGCTTGATACAACTTGCTGTCGTCTGCAAAAAGCTTGTTTCCACAATCCCCCTCAATACACGAGGTTATATCGTTTATAAAAACTAAAAATAAAATGGGTTCTAAAACAGTTCCTTGAGGTATTCCAATTTTTACATGAAGCCATGCAGCCATCAATATTTTAAAAACCAAAGCTTTGTGCAAGGTAATTTACAAAATTACCTCTACTTGCGATTCTACATGCATCATAGCAGGCAACTTTAATCTGCTTCTTATAAACTGGTCAGTCCCAATTAGTTTCGGAAATTCATCTCATGACCTTTTTGCAAACGTGCTCCGCAAATGCTTTAACCCAACTTGTACCCGACAATACTCGACTTAACAACCTTCTAGATCTGATACTAGCCAACAACTCTAAAAACGTTTTTAATATAGAAACTATTGCCTCATTCACAAGTATCTGCGACCACTGCATGATTATTTTCAATTGTAATTTAGAGAAATATAAACCATATAAAAAAACGACCAAGTATAACTTTTTCAAAGCTGATTACAACTCTGGTATTTACTAGCCAAACAAAATCAAGATGTTGAAACATTCTGGCAAACTATATGTAATTTTTTAAATTCATCTCATTGCATGTACCGTTAACTTTTAATAGAAAAAACAATATCCAAACTGTTCGTAAATAAAAAATCCAAATGTTATAATTCTGTTTCGCCATTACTTCAAAGTGATGGTTGCCTTATTACAGATGATTGCGAAAAATATTCTATTCCTTTTTCTATTCTGTTTGAAATGTCAATGTCCAAAAATGCTATCCCTCGGATCTGGAAAACCGCAATAATATGTCCAATATTTAAAAAAGGAAACCCGTTGTTATCCACAAATTATAGACCGATTTCTATGACATGTATTGTCTGTAAAATTACGGAATCAATTATCACGGAATGCGTTACAAGTTATTTACTCCTGAACAATTTCATTTATGTGCATCAGTACGGTTTCTTAAAACGTAGATCCTCATGTACACAGATGTTGACAACATTAAATGAGTGGACCACTGCTGTTAATAATAAAAAGATAGTTGATATCATCTATATAGAATTTGAGAAAGCCTTCGATACTGTGTCTCACTCTAAGTTACTATTTAAACTGCGTTGTCACGGTATCAAGTATGAGTTGCTAAATTAGGTTACAAACTTCTTGACAAATCGTTCTCAACGTGTTTGTATTAATGATTCATACTCAAATAGTATTCATGTAAAAAGTGGAATGCCTCAAGGAACTGTTTTAGAACCCATTTTATTTTTAGTTTTTATAAACGATATAACCTCGTGTATTGAGGGGGATTGTGGAAACAAGCTTTTTGCAGACGACAGCAAGTTGTATCAAGCGAGAAAAGACGGAAATAATATCAACCTTGTAAATACTTTAAAGAGAATTTCAGAATGGTCGAATAATTGTCAACTCAATTTATCTACCAAAAAGTGTTTTCAGCTGCGATACGAAAAGAATCTATTACCAGAACATTCATACTTATTGGATATCGACTCCTATCGAATCAATTGATTTAATCCAAGATATTGGGATATTTATTTCTTCCGATATGAAATTTTCTAAACACTGTTCTCACATTGCTAGCAAAGCAAGTTCTTGTGCTTACTTACTCTTAAAGTCTTTCATCAGTAATGATTCCCAACTTTCGATAAGAGCCTATAAAGTTTATATTCGACCAATTTTAGAGTCATGTACCCCTGTGAGGAATCTCCTAAATATACGTCGGGTAGAAAAGATCCAGAAATATTATACAAGAATTGCAATTGCAGAAATATTATACAAGAATTGCAAACGGTGTTGTATTCCATCATTCTATCTTGACTCTCTTGAATGCCGAAGAATAAAGTTTGATCTTTTAATGACTTAGATTATGAGTTTTTTACTCTCGCTTCGTTTTCTGAGTTTTTTACTCTCGCTCCTACTCATTATTCAACTAGATGTCATTCCCAAAAATTAACATCACGTAACAACTACATCAATGATATAAGGAGATTTTTTTTCAGTGAAAGAGTTACTAAGATATGGAATTCTTTACCTGATTATTTGGTGTATTCCTCTTCATTGTCTTTATTTAAATCGAATTTAAAAACATACAATATTCAGAGACACTGTTTACTGTTTTAAACTTGGTGTTACATAAGAGTAATTTTCCAATTACCTGTATCACCTTTTTGTATTTTTATTTAAATGCAAATAAATTGAAATAATAATAAAAAAATTATTAACTTAAAAATCCGCGATTGAACAAAGTGCGATGATTTCTTTTATCTTTTTCGCATTTTAAAAAGCGTGAAATACGTATGTTTATTTTATCATCCCGGTTTACGAATTATTAGTATTGTTTATACTTGTCACTATCCCGAGGTTGCACGTGAATGTCGAGAATGATGATACCAAGATTTTTTAGTCAGTTTTCTCGTTGTCTTGTAAGTTTATCGAATAAAGTTCAGATTTAGAAGATATTTTTTTTAATGCCTTATATTTATTGAAGCGTTAAATGTAGTTTATGATGGATTTGCTGTGCGAGTTGAGTGAACAGTAAAAAGTTAAACAAAGAGGACCTAGAATGTTCCCCATACACTGATTAATGCTTTTATCAGTGCGATTTACCTAACAGTTGTCCTTAAATTTAAAAACATAAATTCATATCACGCGCATTGGTAACATTAGCAGAAAGGGATTAGTTTTGGTCACAACTTTGGCAGTATAACAGAGAGCAATGTTTTGCTGAAGAATTTTGGTAGTAATTTCTGTTGTTTTTGTCATATTTATGTATTGGTGTTGGTGTGTTTTTTTCTCAACAATATTAAAGCTTCCACCTTCCTTTTTACAATATATCTGTTTTTAAACATACCAACATGTTTGTATAAATTTGCGTAAGTTAAAAATATAAAATACATGCATTAACGATAGAAATTTATATTTTTTATATCATTTAACTTTGTTAAATCATATAAATTTTAATTTTATATGGTTTAACAAAGTTTTTAACAAGTTCACTTACAAAAGCAATGAGACATGCTTATAAGTTAACAAATGAATCAAGTAAAATATTTTTCTTACTAGTATATTACTAGCCATTCTATCAAAGCTAAGACATTTTATTCAACAAAAAACTTTAAAATCTATTTACTATGCTTTATTTCACTCTCACCTCACATATTGCCTCTTATCATGGAGTCAAAATATGAGTATTATTAATCGCCTATTTATCATGCAGAAAAAAGCAGTCAGAATTATTGAATTTCTTCCAAAAAATTCACATACATCCACATCTTCTAACACATTACATATCTTAAAAGTACATGATTTAATTAAAGTTGAAAATTGCTTATTTATTCACAGCTGCCTTAATAAAAAACTGCCTCCTATATTTGATGAATGGTTTACTTAACGCAGTGCAATTAGCAGTCGATTTACAAGAAATTCTTGTAGCGGTGCGCTGAGTGTGCAAACATATAATACAAAATCCTATGGTAAACAATCCTTTAAATACTCTGCAATAATGAACTGGAATCAACTTCAAAGTAAATTAAAAACAATCCCTTTTTGCAATATTAAAAAATATACTCTCAAAACTAAATTATAATACTACCTGATACATCAAGATAAATTTAAACAATAATTGAATCGTTGGCGATAAAAGATTTATGGCAATAGAAGTTATAAGAGATATGATATAAATATAAATGTTAAATAATAGCAACCTTATGTGAATGTATTAGCTAGCTTGTTTGTTTGTTTTTGTTTTTGTTTTTTTTTTTTTGTTTTTTTTTTTTTTCGTTTTTGTTTTGCTCATGGTCGCTCTCCTCGATTTAGCCAGGCTATATGAGAGTGAACCATCCAGAATATAGACTATACATATATTTTTTTTATTTGTATTTTATAACATGCTTATTGTAAAACATCTATATTCTTGGTAAATATATTGCTTTTTGTTGTTGTTGTTGTATATATATATATATATATATATATATATATATATATATATATATATATATATATATATATATATATATATATATATATATATATATATATATATATATATATATATATATATGTATATATATATATATATTATAATCATGCAGCAGCGCTAGTAAGACTTTACAAGTTCGGCTGCATAATTATAAATGAAAAAGAAGAAGTAAAAAAATCTGCACAAACCTATATTCTTATTAAATAAATGTACTGAAACTTTTATATTCCACACAAATAAAATAATGAACAGAAGAAAATTAAAAAACTGAGATGGCATTATTGCATTACAAGGAAGGTTATACAATACAAAAAATTGTTATCAGAGTTAGCATTGTTCTGCGAGGCCTAAAGCAACACTGAATTAGGAAGACAAATTCTTTGAAAAATTAAATTTTTTCAAAGTGAAAAAGTTTAATTTTCCCAAAATTTGTAAAAAACTCCATGCAGGAAACACCAGTATCTGTTTTAACTGTAAAATGTTGTTTTTGCAATTACGATTTGAAAGGATACATCTAAACTAAAAAGATTAAGATGATCAAAAAAGTATAAAAATTGAACTATTAAACAATTGTCTAAAGTTTTGTTCACTAATGAATCAAAGTTTTAAATTTTTGGAGTAAATTGTTGACAATACGTTTATCATTTAATTGGAGCATACACGATAAAATAAGTATGATTACAACAGTCAAGCAAGGTGATGTTATGGTCTGGGAATGCTTTGCTGGAAACAAGTTAGCTGACTTTGTGCAAATTGAGGGCATCACAGATAAAGATAAACCACAACATTATAGTAGCGAATTCTACTATAAATTAGATTTTAAAATTAGAATTAGAATTGAAAACATTTAAAAAGAAAGTTAAAGATATCATTATTTATGGAGTGTCAGAATCAGATGAAGTTTCTTTAGATGATAAAGTAGCTGAAAATAAAGCAAAAGTATTATAAATATTCACAGAATTTGGAGTTCAAAATATGTTCAAAAATGTAAAACAATTAAGAAATGAAATTTCTTACAAGCCAGGTCTATTGTTGGTTAACTTGATAGTTTTAATCTATGAAACAACTGTTTATTAATTTTTACTTGTTATCAACATAAAAATGTATATCTCAAAGCTAAAAAAAAAATTCAGTGAAAATTGGTCTTAAAAATTAAAAAATAATTCTTTTAGTCACCAATAAAAACAAAAACTTTGTAACAACAATGTAAAAAGAAAAAAAAAACTGCGTGCCTTCATTAAGAATGTGAATACAGTAAATAAATTTAAAAAAAAAACATATATCCCCTCTTAGTTATTCTTTTCACTTCATGTTTTTAAACTAGAAATGCCTAGATAATCTAAAACCCTCTATTGAAAAGATTATTAGAAACCCTCTATTAGCAATAATATCTGCCTTAAAACATTTACGTAAACACATTTAATTTATTGATTAAGATTTCAAATTTTAGAGTTCTTTGCAAAACATGAACTTCCACCCATAATATGAAAATGAGGCCTAAGTTGCAGTTAGTAAATTAGAGCAAATGTAAATATGATCAAATAAACATTTGATATATGAGCAAATAAGCAATCCATTATATACCAAATTAAAATTTGGAAATATTGCTTTTATCCACATGGGAGTTATTAGATACTGTTCTTTTAATAAATAATAAGCTTATCATTATGCTGTTTAGTATTGTTATTTTTAGTGGGTCTTTTTTTCTTTACACTGCATCTAGTTTTGTAAAAAGTTAACTTGTGCCCTAGTAGAAAGTTGATCTTGTTGTTTTTTGAATATGAAACTAGTTGCATAATTTAAAATTTTCTTGCTATAGAAAAGTGTTTTTGCTTTACTAAACCTATTCCATTTTTTTTCCCCTCTGATAAAATACTAAACTTTGCCAATTATTTTGAAAAGTGAGTCTTTTTAATTTTGGGTTTCTATATTGTATAAAAAAATATAATTTTTTTATACAATAAAGAAATGTAAAGTTAAAAAAACTGACATTTTTTAAACTGTTGGCACCAGCTAATGGTTACCATGACTGAGGCCAATGCATTGGTGCACCCCTAATATATATATGTATATATATATATATATATATATATATATATATATATATATATATATATATATATATATATATATATGTATATATATATATATATATATATATATATATATGTATACATATATATATATATATATATATATATATATATATATATATATATATATATATGTATATATATATATATATATATATTAAAATAAAAAAAATTATTTAACATTTAAAATCTTTAAAAAAAAAAACATTTTGCCCCATGCTAGGGGCAAAACGGGGTATACAATGTAATATGTTGTCAAATTTGTTCAATGTTTAGGCACAGTTCACAAGTATAACTTGGCCTTTTATCTTTTTCTTCTAAACCAGCTCACAAGTAATGTGTCCAGCTGTGGCAATCACTACAAGAAACCCAACTTTCAACACTAGTTGAGTAATTTTCATGACAGTAGAGACAGGAAGTGTCATCCTCTGAATTTTTCGTTGTTTTCCTGTTTTTAGATACAGTGTTTTGTTTATCTTCTTAAGCATTTTTTTTTTTAATGCATAACCTTTTTTGTAAATCATTTGAGCCTTTTTCTTTTTTTAATGGATTTTGCTCACTTTTACTCAGGGTGTCTAATAGCGAGACTCTATATGGAGAGGAGGTCAGGATTGCAGTTTTTACTCTCAGCCCTGATAGTATCCTTTGCAGTGACTGCTTTGGTATTGGAATAATAAACTTTGGAGATAAATTTTGAAATGATGTGGTATTAATATTGCTTGTAAAAGTGGTTAAAATGATGGAAAAAAGTGGACATTATGCAGGTAAAATCAGATGATTGGCTTGTAGAAGCAATTGTATTGATATTAGAAACATTCAGATTGCTAAAAGCAGATATTTGGGTTTTAAATACCATTGGATACTGGTACTTACAGATGTATGGTTGACAGAAGCACAGAGGTAGCTCTTAACAGTCATGTCACATGCTACCAAAAAGTCTGGTTTGGAAAAAACATTTCTACTAGCTGGCTATATGCCTGCTTTTTTGAAAACCATTTATGGTATTTGTCATTGTGGCAGCTACCAAGTAGGCCAAAAAGTGCAGCTATTTAAAATTGATTGACCACGCACCCAGAATTTGTTCTCAACCATTTCCTGATATTGTGATCATAGAGAGTGCAAAATGGCTTCATTTTTATGAAATGACAAGTGTTGGGAATGTCTCTCCATGAAACCTTTACACCAGTCATAACTAGCAACACCAAGGTTATAATGAAAACTGTGTTTCTTATTGTTTTTAACTGCCAGCTTGTACGCTAACTTTCTTATCTCAAATGATCTCAGTCTGAAAAGTGTCTTTTCTATCAGCTAAATGTGTATAACATGTTCATTTTCTTCCTCTGGCATGAATAGTGTTTTGAAAGCACCTAGAACTGAAATACAAAAGTGCTAATTTAACCACTTAAAAAGAAAACGTTTATATATGCATATATAGAAAGATATATATTTATATATGTTTATATATGCATATATATAAAGAAAACGTTTATATATGCATATATATATTATATAAATTATTATTATATTGACATAATGTATACATATATATATATATATATATATATATATATATATATATATATATATATATATATATATATATATATATATATATATATATGTATATATATATATATATGTATATATATATATATATATATATATATATATATATATTTATATGTATACATATATATATATATATTTTATTTATTTAAATTTTATACATATATAAATATATATATATATATATTTTTATTTGAATTTTATAGATATATATATATATATATATATATATACATATATATATATATATATATATATATATATATATATATATATATATATATATATATATATATATATATATATGTATATATATATATGTATATATATATGTATATATATATATATATATATATATATATATATATATATATATATATATATATATATATATATATATATATATATATATATATATATATATGAGTATCTATATGTATGTATATGAATGTATGTATTTATGTATGTATACATCATTTTAGGAAATTAAAACCTCTCTTTGCAGAAACTATCATCATGTGAGACCAGTTATAAAACGTAATCTTATCAAGCCTGAAGTTGATCTTTCTCTACATGATCCACATGGTACCTTATTTTTATAAAATTAAAAAAAATACAAATATAAACAAGAATTTATAAATTCTTTATATAAAAATATAATTATATATTATACATTATTAAATGTTATATTTTATTGAACATGAAATTTCTCTATATTTTATTTATATCAACTATTCATAATTTTTTAAATAATTTTTATTTACATAGTTATTTTTAATTATATTCATAATTTTTTTATTTATGTCTTTTAGGTAAATATAGTCCTCAAGTTAGAGAATTTATAAAAGCTAGAGACTTTGAAAATGCAGGTGGAAGAAAAGTTGATGTCATATCTTTAACTACTGGAGAGAATAAAGGAGTTATAGAACTTAATAATTTTGTTTTTGGTGCTAACCCAAGGTTTGAACAATACTTAAATATTATGAAAATTTCTTTTACAACTAAGATGAGATGTCTGTGATCATGTTAAAAAAGCACCTTGGTGAAAAAATCACCTTTGTGACCATGTTAAAAACCCACCTTTGTGAAAAAATCTTTGTGACCATGTTAAAAAACCACCTTTATGAAAAAATCTTTGAAATTTCTAAATCTTTATTGAAAAAATCTTTTTTTTATTCAAAATAGTGTTAAAATGGTGTTATGAGTCTAAAATGCCTTCACTGCACTATTCTTTTTTTTTTTGTTTTGAGTTGTTTCTAATGTAAAAGAGAATTTCAGGAGTTATATATTAACCATTTAATAGAAGATAAAATATATGAAGTTGCAGACTTGTTATGCAATTTATAACTTTTTTATAAATCTTTCTCAACTTAGAACTGATTCCAATATTTAAAAATAATTTTAACGTTTATTGTTGGTGGTTTGTCTGGTATGTTTGCTAAAGTAGTAGCTGGTGTGTGGTTAATTTTACGGAAACTAAGTGCATATAAAGATTTGTCATTGATCCACCTTTTAAAAATCTTTTTGTCACCATTTACTTACATATTGGAGTTTCTTTCTATATATCATATATACAGGGTGTTAACCAGGAATAAATTTGATACAGCATTTAAACCAAATTGGGAATTTGTCAAATTGAAGTATTTCTCAATCACCCCCTCCTCCCCTGAGATTAAAATGTGTTCTGGGAAAGCATAAGGTCCGTTTTTAGTGTTCTTTTTTTTTCTACCCTACTTCAGCGCTGTATACATTGATTGATCAGCGCCAAAAATAAAATAAAATACCATCTGTATCATTAAAGATGAATATGAAATCAACACAAAGTTAGCTGTTGTTTCGCGACAACACGGCAAACTAAGAACCGATTTCTGAACATATATTAGGAATGATATCTTTTTTTATTATAAAATAATCAGTGTATATTAATTATTATTGAGAATAATTAATTCGATTTATTTTTAATCTTTATATATTGATACCCTCTCATTTCAAGAGTATTATTTTGAATATATATTTCTTTTTCAATGTAATATAGTAAAATAGCGATCTACAATGAGCCAATGATCTTCTACTTCTAATTATTATTTAAATTCTGCTCAACGTACTTTACAGACAAACCCTTACATCATCATGTAATAAATTGTGTCATTAGAAGAAATTTTTTGAAAATAGATAAGGTTTTAAAAATCGTAAACACGAGCTCATAATTTTCATATTTTACATTTATTGCGAGTTCTTTTTTATAATTAATAATAATTTATTTTATACATAAAACGCTTAACGAAATAAAGTTATAATCACAAAGTCTCAGCAAAAACAACAAGAAATGTCGTTTAGTTATAGAGTAATATTATTAGCAAGCAATTGCACGCGTGGCATCGAAGAATACAAGTAAAAAAGTAAAAAACTTTAGCAAATTCAGTTGATATAAAATACCACACAAAAAAAAGAAAAACAATTGCTAAAAGACATTCCGTAATAACCGTCATTGATCAAAAGGTATCTGACATAACCTTCTTGATGTTTTTGTTGACAAAATACATGTACTACTTAAAGTTGAGTTTACAGTAAGACTTAATAAGTTATTTAACTTTTTAGGGCAAAACTTTTAAAGAAATAGCATTTGTGGGTGTTAAACCAAACAAGTTTGTTATTATTTTGGATCTTTTAGATTAGTACTTTATTTCTTGCTAACTATTTTATATAATATTTGCTGTTGTTGGAATGCATTGCAAAAAACTATTTTCAAACTTTATTGCAAGTTGCCTAAAAAATCCCAAAAATCGCTTCAAATCCCAATTCTCATGATGTTTTTTCCAAGAAACCAATTTTCATAGTTTTGCAATTGCGTTTTTATACCAATATTTGCGATTTGATTTCATGTTTTACGCAGTTAATGAGTTAGAATTTTTTTATGTTATTTTTCTATTAGTTTTGAATAATAATTAATTTTAAATTATTTTTAGAATTATTATTAAACTTTAATTTGGAAACTTTATTTGTAGAATGGGATTTTTTCATCTTTAAATTGGGAATTTTAAATTTATGAGCATTTGGTAAAAACGCGTTTGACGGGGCGCCACAGTGCTAGTTTACACCCTGATATAGTATACTATTTTGTATGTAAACTGTTATTCATGTAGTAATAGTTACATGTAGCAATAATTACATGTAGCAATAATTACATATTTATTGCTACATGAATAATAGTTTACATACAAAATAGTCTGTTTCTTGGTCTATGTATTTAATAAGATAAAATTTATAATCATTTTTTTACTCTTTTTACTTTAAATTTACTATGATACATTACATTCATCTTAGCAACAATCATAAAATTAAAAGCAATTAAAATAAAATGAACTAATCCTCTCAAAGAAAAATTTTAATGTAAACATGTAAAGGTGTTATGTGTTAGATGTAAAGAGTATATATAACATGTTGTATAGAATAAACACAAACAAAAATTGTACAGAGTATACAAATTTTAGAGTTCATAATTTATTAAGATAAAAAAATATTTATTAATAAAAAAGTGTACTTTTTGTTTCGAAAACCAATCTTGTATTTAATAAAAAAATAATTTGTCAGATATGAAGAATTTTTGAAATTTTATTTATAGAATTTGAATCCAGGCCAGAAAATTTGATAAAATAAAAGCAGGGCCAGAATCAGATTTGTAGGCTGATAGTTTGAAATATCAGATAGGCTGGGCTGTTTTAAAGTGGTGAATCATAATTTTTTAGATTATCAACAAAGAGGTAAAAAGTTTCTAATTAAAATTTCAGAAGAGACTTCATCATCATCTTTGTTTCCCTAGAAATGTTAGTACCCATCACAAAACTATTAATCATCTTCTCATATACTGCACATCATCAAACTTTGTAGTCTGTTTTACAACCATCATAACATGTATTACTTTTAATTGTTTTAAACTTTTTAATAGAAATGTTTACTATTCTGTAATTTTGAACAAGATTTTGTTTGTGATGTCTCTTCTGATCTAATAATATTTTCTAAAAAAAAATTTTTATTAACAGTTTCACATGAATTTGGAATCAAATAAATTATATTCAGAATCTTACAGATACAGTCATGGTCATGTTTACTCTTTTAAAACCAAAAATCTGTTTCTGTTTTTTACAGCTACAGAAGGATTTGTTTTATTAATTATTTTATACTAATTACTGCATTGACTGCAGTTGTATGTGGTTTTTATAATTTCAAGATATGCAATATGAATTGTTGAGATGGCCAAGCCTTTGTTTTCTTTCATAGCTTTGGCTCTAAGAGCTGTGTAGACACAATGTTTTGTTGATTCCTAATATTTATTTGGCTCCAAAACTGAACTGAAAAGGAACATTCGTTTTGATTATTCATCGTGTCTACTAGGATGGTTCAAAATGCGGTCAATTTTTTTTAGCAGTCTAGAGTAAAAGCTTGTTTTAATCCTTTGTTTTATATATAAGATTTTTAAAAAAAAAATTAAGGCTGGCACACAGGAAATCACATGGAGATTTTATTAAATTTTGACCCTATATGTTCCACCCTTAAACAATTTTTAAATCAAAAAAAAAGTTCTATATCTTTTATTTTATCTAAATAAAAAAATAACAGCATTCTATGAAGTGCAAAATGTAAGCAAAAAACTTGTTATCTCCCTTATATTTACTAGGTTGATTAAAAATTAGTTTAAAAATATCTTTTTAACTTAAGTTTTAGTTTATATTCTGTGTTTTCAGTTTAAAAAAAAAAAAAAAGTTCTAATTGGATTATTATACTTTTCAGATTTAAATCTTTTAACAAGAAAAATAGAAAAAGAAATAACTTTGCTTTTTCTGTTTATTACTTCATATATAACCTTATATAACAGCTTATGTTTACCAGTTATGCTGAAAAATGGCTTTTAATGGCTCTTTGTGTTTAATGTTGACAAAATTAAGAAAATATAAAAAACATGAAAATAATTGAGGGAAAAAACCCATAAAATTGCCTAGAATGTTTTTTGTTTTTTTAATTCAGAATGTTGTAAAAAAGTTATAAATATTGTAAATAAATAAAATGAATAAAAACAGTAAAAAATTAATTTTTTTTTACTGTTTTTACTAATTTTAATTGTTTTATTATTATTTTTTTATTTATTGACAGATTTATTTAAAGATTAGCGTGACAGAGTTTAATTGACTGGCTTAAATAGGTAGAACAGTGTACATACATCAACTGACTTAGGGAGACAAGTGTACATACATCAACTGACTTAGGGAGAACATGCCTATGCTGATAAATCAACTGATGGTTATGGTTTGAGTACGCAATCTAAAAGGCATAGCAAAAAGTCCTAACACTAATAAATGTAATTTTAACTCAACTTTGATATTTACATCATTAAAAGTTAATTTGCATTATTAGCGTATTTTAAAGTATCACATTGTAATTCTTTTAATGATTTTAATTTTAAAAATATTTTAAAGATAAAATCTTTAAAAATCATTAAATTTTATAGCAAAAATTACTGATAAATCTAAATTCGGTATTTGAAAAAGATTATATTTTCTTAAAATTTATTTTGTAATACAATCATATACTAACATAGTTTTTTATTTCTTTTTCACAATTTAGTTTTTTTATGTATTTAATGAACTATTTTTAACAAAGATCATAAGCAATTTATAGGTAGATTTTATCAGTTATCAGTAAGATATTCGTAAACACAATTTATGTTCATAAATAACATTAGACAATATTAAATTAATAAGAAACAAAAGTTTTTGAATCCATTTGAGAGAAGAATTGAACAAATTTTGTTTAATTCTTAAACAAAAAGGCTTAAAACAAAAAGAAAAGTTTTTTAGTTATAATATACATAATCTGTATGTTATGTTTTATGTATTATATATTAGTATTATTACTATAAATTATTATATATATTAGTATGTTATATCTTCTTCTCTTTTTTCTTC